TTTCTCTGTTGCCGTTGGTATTGTGATGGGTGCCAGGTATCCCAGTGTTTACCCGGAGACTTTATGGAATAAAAAAAAGGAAACGGAAACTATTTCACTCTTCATATTGGCCTTGTCATATGCGCTTCTCCAAAGTGCTTTCAACTACATACATGCCAGTCAACACCAAGTAGGCAAAAGGAAAAAAAAAACACACTCAAACATCCGTTGCAAATATATATATATATATATATATATATATATATATATATATATATATATATATATATATATAAAAGTAATATTACACTATATTACAATGTTCATTTTCACTGCTTGAAGGTGTGCGTTGGCTCAAAGCCGCAGACCAAGTGTCTTAGTGCCCCAGCAGTGATGATATAAAGCCATATCGCACTGCTACGAGTGTGAAATTGTGTTTATACAACAGTTTGACTGCATAATCGTGTATATGAAAAGAAAGTCAATCACGAAGAGTCTCAAAAACCCTTTTGTATAAGGAACTACTTTATTCCGCTATTCATTCACACCTGCAGCTGACGTCAGAACAGCAGAAACCATTGCTAATTCACAAACGTCACTTTAGAACTAGTAATTTGAATGATTCTCTAGCACAAACTTTTCAGCCTGTGACCACTAAAATAACAAGGCCAGTAACTCGTGATCCCCAAATTCCTTGGAGGTGGTTATACACATACAAACATTGCTCACACAATATAGGGCCTATAAACACGGGCAAATTGACAGCACTAAAAAAAGTGCATCAATCTAACAACCATTTATTGTCATTTATTATTTTGTTTAATTTAATTTTAACCTCAGTTAAAAAGACTGGTGGATACAATGTTTTCAGCATTCTATTGTTGGTTTAATTTTGGAGACCGCCAATCAGAGATCATTCTCAATGTTTAGTTGTGATCTGTATTTATTTTTAAATTTTTTTATTTGATTGCCATGATGCTGTCAGAAAGTTTAACATGGTGCTATTCACCTTATTCTCTGCCGATGAGCGGGCACAGCCATTTGAATCTTTTTGTCTCGCGACTTCCGGTCACATTCACTTCGGTTCATTTTTTGACGTTAAAAACTGCTCGTTACGCTGCTTGATGTTGCAATTTAATATTTTCTTATTATATTATTCTACTTGGTCTGTGTAGTCATGCAAACATTTGTTTGTAGAGCAAGTAGTTTGACCATTTTCTGCCGTTTATTATTCCTAGTCTTTACTCCCACTGGCGACTAAATCAGAAGTTCTAAGACAATCGCAAAAACAGGCGCACTTCCGCATTTTAGAATAAGGTCAATAAAATCAATCTGCTGCAGCTGACGCTATTGCTTTGTTGTTATTCTAACATAAACACACCAATTCTAAAAACAAAAATATTTAAAGACTGATGGTTTTCATTTGCATGTTGTTGTTTTTATTTTTAAAAACTACTATTTTATCTTCGGTGGATTATGGTCAAAATATGGTAATTCAAATGGTTTAATCAAAATTATTTGACTTTTAGAAATCACCAAGTGACACCAATGTGGAGTACATTGTATCATAACACTCTTGGGGGTCTCAACCCCCACTTTGGGAACCACAGCTCTAGCATAATATCTGAAGGGATAACAAAAAAAGTTATTTTTTTAAAGAAATTCCATCAGTCTACAGAGATTTCCCAGTATTTCTCTGTTGCAATCAGGATAATACAATAACTAACGCAGCCCAAACCCCAAACAAACGCAGCCCAAACAAATGCTACCAGATAGTATAAATACAGCACTACAACATACAAAAGAGAGAGATCGACTTAGAATATCACTTACCTCTTTTATGATTTCATCAGCTGTAATTTGAAATTTATGTTGAGCTTTTCTCTCCTAAGGACTTATTATGTGATCTCTGTCACCATCTTGTGGTGGAACTGTAACCATATTTGCTCTGTTCAATATGACAGGCTAATGGCCGCCAATCCGCTGAATCTCTGAAATTATAAATATTTAAAATAGGCACTCTCCTTATAAATAAACTGCATAGTTGCAATCTAAACATCTACATTCTCGCCTAAAAAAAGCCTCAAGTACATTATGTTGTCCAACAGCTGCAATATTTGTCAATCTGTAGTGAGTTTATTGATCTGCTGTCACTATGTTGGCGAAGTAATGCCTCATTCCCAGCAGTGACTTTTCGAGCTGGCTGTCACTCTGGGTGGCCACCTGCTTCAAATGCAGGTCTGTGTAGGTATATACAGCGCAAATACAACCAGCCTCTGAGCGAGCTGAGAGAGGATCATGTAAGCTCTACTGGTGCTCAAGAAAGTTGCTCTTCATTTGCATAAAGTTGAAGGGTTCTCAAGTTTGTCGCAACGCTCGACACGGCCATGCAATTGCCAACAGTCGCTGTCACTGTCGCTCATGTAGACATTGGTTGCTGGAAGTCGCTCGCTTTTTGTTGAAATGAACGGTCGCTTGTCGCTTTGCTGCTGCGAGTCGCTCATAGTGTGAATGAGGAGTAATGAGGGGTGAGGAGGCTGTACCAGTGCTGTTATTGCAGAATATTAGGATAATTTTATTTAAGGGAAAAATTGAGAAATGAGTTGGACAATATAAGGTACAAGTTCACACTCACATTTTTACCTCAAAACAGGCGCCGGTGTAAAACTCAGAAGAGATCTGATGAGTGTTCTACTGATGCGTTTGTGTGCCTGTCAGTCATTCTTTGTTGCTGTGTAGTACCAGTGTGTCTCCTTACATGCTAACACGGTGCTTTACATTCAGCTCAATTTAAGCTAATCGATAAGTAGGCCATGCTTTGTCAGTCGCAGGCAGACAGCTGTCTCTGCATCTCAAGTTGTCTGATTAATTAGTTATGTGAGTAGAATGGATGAAGTTGCGTTCGGCTTTTAAGATCCAGCCACGCATTACTCTTCTAACTCTCACTTACTTTACATGGAGACACAGATTAGATACACTGCAGAAAAAAACGCTCTTCTAACCTAACTTTTTTGTTCTAATATCTAAACATTTTTTCTAGACAAGCACAAAATATAACTTTTTTTCATAAGTAATATGTCAAAATTAAGTGAGTTTTTCTTTAAAACAAGCTGAATAATCTGACAATGGGGTAAGCAAAATAATTTTACATCAAAACGAATTGCAACAACAATTAAAACAGTACAATTACAATTTGCAGTACAAATAAATCAGAATAAAGTCTATAATTCAACCAACTATAGTACAAACTATAGTTAATTTTTTAAAAGGGAATTATGAATTAAGTTTAAGTAGCCTACAAACGCATAAGAAATAAGGGAAAAATGTGAGGGCATAAAAAAGGAAATACATAATCATGAATAGGCCTATTAAACAAAACATTCATTCATTCATTCTTTCATTTTCTTGTCGGCTTAGTCCCTTTATTAATCCAGGGTCGCCACAGCTGAATGAACCGCCAACTTATCCTGCAAGTTTTTATGCAGCAGATACCCTTTCAGACGCAACCCATCTCTGGCAAACATCCACACACACATTCACACACACACTCATACACTACCCTAGTAGCAAAGAATTCTGGCCCCGATTTGGCATTAAGCTGGGACAGCAGGCATTCATCCGGCACTGGCATACAGCATGTGGGCCAACCATGGCCTGGGTTTGGCAGAGGTGGCACTGTCTATAATGCGGCACACAAGATTTGGGCCAGATGTAAAATGTAGTATTTGGCCCAGATTTAAAAAATTGATTGTGGGCCACGTGAGTTTGGCCAGTCTTGACCATCATTTAAAATACATTTAAATAATTTTTGATTAAATAAATCAATTCTACCAATCAGGTCACTGAGAAAAAACAAGGCCCATAGTGTGCCTAAAGCGCAACGCTTCATGGGTTTATCAATTTCATTGCAATCGTGACACACCAACCTTACTGGCCCAGTTCAGGCCCAGTTATGAGTTATTAGCTTGGCTGAGACTTGGCCCAGATATGGTCTGTGTTTGACCCTTGTCTAGAAGCCAGATTTGGTCCAGTCATGTACCGTAATTCACTGCGGCATGTGGGCCAAGCAAAACCTGATTGTGTGGGCCAGAGCAATTTTGCTATGTGGGTGCAGACAATTTAGCCTACCCAATTCCCCTGTACCGCATGTCTTTGTACCGTGGGGGAAACCGGAGCACCCGGAGGAAACCCACGCGAAGGCAGGGAGAGCATGCAAACTCCACACAGAAACGCCAACTGAGCCGAGGTTCGAACCAGCAACCCAGCAACCTTCTTGCTGTGAGGCGACAGCACTACCTACTGCGCCACTGCCTCGCCTTAAACAAAACAATAAGATCAAATTCTAAAAGTTTTAACATCAGTCTTTAGGCTACTAGATGTAGAATGATAAGTTAGTACTGTTCCAGTGCTTGTTTGAATATGCTAAAAAAGGGTTTACATTTATTTACATTTATGGATATAAAGCTTTCCAATGTAGTGCAAAACCCCAAAACAAGGTGTTTTAATTAAGTCTTAAACAATGGATTGTTTTGGATAATGAAAGCATTTTTAAAAAGACACTTTAATCCAAAAAGATTGAACAAAAGGACCAAAATAAATGAGCTACACTTAATTTCCCATACGATTAATAAATACACAATATGTACTGTAAATGTACTTGCTTATCATCTTGTAAATTATGTTAATGGTGTGAAATGATTGTTTGTTTTTTCTAAAATATAATTCAGATCTTTTAGTCTAACATTTGGCTATAACTCGAAACATAATAAATATCAGCACACCAATAACAAAAGCAACCTTGTAACTATTTTAATCCCAGTTTTGAAACAAAATAATCGATCTACAGGTGTGAAAGCACCCTAAAACAAGCAAAAATAATATGCTAGTTGGGTAAGCAAAATAATCTTACGTCAAAATTGTTTTGCTCTGTCTAACATCCAAAAGAGTCCAGGACAACAATTCTGAGTGAGTGCAAATTTGAGAATGCCTAACCCACTATGACCTATCAATTGTTTTCTCAGAACGGCCAGAGACAGTGATGACGACGATGACGATGACCGCAAAGTGAGCCGGGGATGTACACTCCAGTACCAGAGGGCCCAGATTAAGGTTTTGACCCAGTTCCACACAACTTCATCTGAAGGCACAAATCAGATGATAACCATGCTGGGTCCAGACTGGCAAGTGGACGTGACGGAGCTGGTGCAAGACTCCCTGAAAGTGGTAGATGGACGGGTGGCCGAGCTGGCGGACAGGACAGTGCTAGTGGCCAACGAGCTTGGATCGTCCACTCTGAAGGTAAAATACAAGTAAAATTCTAAATGATGGATTTATGAGGGGATAAAAATGTGTTTTAGTAAGCTCTCAGTAGCGTATAATACCATGCAATATTTATTCAATTTCATTTGCTATATTACATTCTCTTCATCCAAAATTATTGGACACCCGGTCCTTACTCAGGGATTTTATACCTGTCGAGACATAATGCAAAGTGCCTGAGGGACAATTATTCAAGCCTTTTTACTGTCTCGTATATATTCAAGTACAAGCTTTATATTCTTCCCTGGTGTTACATTTTTAAGCTCTAACACTGTTAGTGGCCTGTTTTATTTTACATTTGGCATTTTTATTTAGTTTTCTCTGTTGTTTACTGTTTATTTTATTTATTTTTATTTTATAGTTTTGTATTATGTTCTGTTTTGTCTCGCATTGTTTTATTATTAATTTTTTATTTTTAATTTTAACATTTTTTATATTGTGTTTCTGGAACATAAGTTCAAATATTCCCAGTAGTGTGTTGCGGCTGGACATATAGGCAAATATTCCCAGTAGTGTGTTGCGGCTGGACATATAGGCAAATATTCCCAGTAGTGGGTTGCAGCTGGAAGGGCATCCACTGCTTAAAACATATGACAGAATAGTTGGTGGTTAATTGCGCTGTGGCAACCCCTGATAGATAAAGGACTAAGCCGAAGAATTATGAATGAATGAATGAATGAATGAATGAATGAATGAATGAATGAATGAATGAATGAATGAATGAATGAATGAATGGAACAGCAAATGGGATTATAGATCAGTTCTATTTAAATTCAAAACAGTTTTTTTCTCTTGTTTTTTTTTTCTTTTTTACAAATATTTTTTTCTTGTTTATATATGTTATTTTTTATTACTATTGTTTAATAGTAATAATAATAATTAATATAATTATTGTTTATTAAAATATTGTTTATTAAATATTGTTTATTAAATATTATTTATTATTGTTGATTACTATTACTTTTCTTATTTTGTGTTACTGGAACAGCAAATGAGATTGAGGATCGATACTATTTTCTTATCTTTCTGTTTTGTTTTTATCCAATTATTTTAGTCTTGTTTATTTATTTTAATTTATGGTTTTTATTTTTTGTTCTGTTTTTGTTTCACTTTGTTTTATTAATTTATTTTGTTTCATTTTATTTTGTGTTTCTGGAACAGCAAATATGATTGAAGATTTATAATCTTTTCTTATTGTCTTTTTTCTCAATTACTTTTGTCTTCCTTATTATTTTGTTTTGTTATTTTTTAATTTTATTTTTATTATTATTTGAAGGTTTTATTTTTTGTTTTGTTTCACATTGTTTATTTTTCTGTTTCATTTTCTTTTGTGTTTCTGGAACAATTATTTTAGTCTTGTTCACTAATTTATTTTATGATATTTTCATTTTTTATTGATAGTTTTGTTTTTTATTCTGTTTTGTTTCACATGATTTTATTGGTTTGTTTTTTACATTTTCATTTTGTTTAATCCCAAATGGGATTAAAAATTAATACTGTTTTTTACTGTTTTTCTTATATGTATTCTTATATATAGTTTTGTTTTTTGTTCTGTTTTGTGTCACATTGTTTTTGTTTGTTTTTTATTGATTCTGAAACGAAACAGCAAATGGTATTTAAGATCAATACTGCTTTCTAATCTTTTTTTTCTCATAATTATTTTAGTCTTGTTTATTTATTTTATTTTTATTATTATTATTATTATTATTATTTTACTTTATTTGATAGTTTTGTTTTTGTTCTATTTTCTTTCACTTTTTTGGTTTTGTTTCAGTTTTATTTGTGTTTCTGGAAAAGCAAAGAGGATTCAAGGTTACTGTTTTCTCATATTTGTTTTTTTTTCTCACAATTGTTTAATTTTGTTTATTTTATTATTTTTTGTATTATTGTTGTTTTTGCTTTTGTTTCACTTTGTTTTATTTTATATTGTGGTTCTGGAACAACAAATGGGATTGAAGATCAATACTATTTATTCATTGTTGTCTTAATTTATTTTTAAAAGAGTCCAGAATTATTCATGTATCAAATTATTCATTCATTTTCTTTTCAGCTTAGTCCGTTTATTAATCTGGGGTTGCCACAGCAAAATGATCCGCCAACTTATCCAGCATATGTTTTACACAGAGAATGCCCTTCCAACTGCAACCCATCACTAGGAAACAGAGTCAATCTTTTTGGTTAATAATTTTTTAAACAGACCTATCAGATCGCTAATAATATACGTTTGTTTTATATATAAAATTAACAAGGGTGTGTTTATTGTAAATTCTGAAAACTGCCTTTTTTAAATAATGCTTTAAAAAATAATGAATACGAGGTTGCTCCCCTGCTGTCTTTATCTTTTAATGCCGCTTTAGAAAGCTATTCATATGCATATTACGTCCCAGTAGGCTATTCAGAAACTGGGATGTTTGGGAAGAGAATTATCTCTGTCTTCCGAAACTTCAGTAGTGTTAAATTGAGGGAATCATTCTTGAAAGTGAAGTTTTCTCTCTCCATTGAATCAGCACACAATCAATTCATTGTGCTCAAGCGCAGAGAGTTTTGATCACTCGTGACAGTTTGATCACACCTCTCTCGCAGTTGTTGACTGTTGTTTAGATTTGCAAAGTATCTGTTTTCCCCCATAAACAAATTTGAGCATAAAAGGGAAAAGTTTGCTAATTAAACTAGGGAAAACTGCAAAGGTCATTAATAATTAATGGCCAATGCAGATTTCAAATGTTTTTTTTTTTTTGTTTTTTTTTTTTTTGCTGAATGTGAGCTGAAAATAAACGAGGCTGAGAACAGAGCAGAATTTCACCCACAAAAAAAGAAAGAAAAAAAAGGTATGAATAATGATGTTTATAAGTGAGACACACCAGGGCTTTTTTAGCTTATTTGGTGGGTCTTTGATCTTCATCTGCTACAGCACTCATCATCCACCCGTCATTATGACCTGAGCACAAAAACACATTGACTTCAGCTTTGAACATCTCCCACGACACATTGTTTTTTAGGATCTTAGAAACAGCAGAAGGTATCGTTGACCCATTCTGAGCACTGGCTTAGCTCTAATATTGAAGCATTAAGTGTACAAAACTAATCTTACAAGCAGTTAGTTACATTGTTCATTCAGTTTAGTAAATACATTAACTAACAATAGCTAATATATATATAATTGCAAAGTGTTTTGGAAACCATGTACATTAGTCTTTATAGCATCAAACTCAAATTACATACCGCAATTTTAATAAATGCCATTAATAAATATTGGAAAGATCTGATGAAAAGATTTTGCTCTTAAAGTGACTTTTGTTTGATGAATCAACCAGAACCACGGTTTCCACTGAAAATAAATAAAGAATAATATATAGTAAATAATACATGGATGGATTTCAGCTTTTTTGAATGGAGGATTTAAGGTTTTTTTGGTTGGATGGATGGATGGATGGATGGATGGATGGATGGATGGATGGATGGATGGGTGGGTGGATGGATGGATGGATGGATGGGTGGATGGATGGACGGATTGATGGATTTTCAGATTTTTGCATGGATGGATGGATGGATGGATGGATGATTTTATCTTTTTTGCATTGATTGATGGATAGATGATTTTATCATTTTTGCATTGTTAGATGGATGGATGAATGGGTGGGTGGATAGATTGATGGATAATTTCAGCTTTTTTGCATTGATGGATGGATGAATGGATGAATTCAGCTTTTTTTGGATGAATGGATTGATGGATGATTTAAAAAAAAATAGGATGGTTGGATGGATAAAGCATTTAAGGGTTTTTTGGATAAATGGATTTTTTGGATGGATGGAGGATTTAAGTTTTTTTGGATGAATGGGTGGATAGATGGATGATTTTAGCTTTTGGGATGGGTAATAGATGATTTCAGCTTTGGGTGGATGAATGGATGGATGGATGATTTAGCTCTTTGGATAAATTGATGGATGGAGGATTTCAGCATTTTTGCATGGATGGATTGATGATTTCAGCTTTCTTGGATGGATGAATTGATGGATAATTTTAGCTTTTTGGATGGATGGATGGATGGATGGATGGATGGATGATTTTAGCTTTGTAGATGGATACATTGATTTCAGCTTTTTAGATGGATGGATGGATGGATGAATTATTTTAGCTTTTCGAATGGGTGGATGAATGGGTGGATGATTTTAGCTCTAATGGAAAAGATAAGCTTTTTATATGGATGAGTGGATTGTTTCAGCTTTTTGGATAGGTGGATGAATGAATGGATGATTTTAGCATCTTTGGATGGATGGATGGATGGATGGATGGATGGATGGATGGATGGATGGATGGATGGATGGATGGATGGATGGATGAATGGATGATTTCAGCTTTTGGATGGATGGATGAATGGTGGATTTTGGCTTTTTTGGATGGATGGATGGATGGATGGATAGATTAATGATTTTAGCTTTTTGGATGGATGGATTGATTGATGGATGGATGGATAATTTCAGCTATGTAGATGATAGATAGATTGATTGATGATTTCAGCTTTTAAGATGGAAGAATGGATGGATGGATAGATAGATGGATATTTTCAGCTTTTTGGATGGATGGATTATTTCAGCTTTTTGGATGAAGGGATGGAAGGATGATTTCAGCTTCTTTTAGATGGAAAGATAGATGAATGGTTTCAGCATTTTAGATGGATGGATGAATTGTTTCAGCATTTTGGATGTGTGGATGAATAGATGGATGATTTTTGCTTCTTTGGATGGATGGATGGATGGATAGATGATTTCAGCTTTTGAATGGATAGATGAATGGTGGATTTTGGCTTTTTTAGATGGATGGATGGATGGATGGATTAATGATTTTAGCTTTTTAGATGACTAGATTGATTGATTAATGGATGGATGGATGATTTTAGATTTTTGGATGGATGGATTGATTGATGAATGGATGGATGGATGATTTCAGATTTTTTTGATGTACAGATGATCTGTTTTTTGGATGGCTGGATGGATGGATAGATGGATGGATGGATGATTTTCAGATATTCTTTAGATGGACAGATGATTTCAGCTTTTTTGAATGGATGGATGGATGGATGGATGGATGGATGGATGGATGGATGGATGGAAAAGATAGTTGAATGGATGGATGGATGATTTCAGCTTTGATGGATGGATGGATGGATGGATGGATGGATGGATGGATGGATGGATGGATGGATGGATGGATGGATGGATGGATGATTTCAGGTTTTTGGGTGGATGGATAGATGGATAGATGGATAGATAGATGGATGGATAGACAGACAGACAGACAGACAGACAGACAGACAGACAGACAGACAGACAGACAGACAGACAGACAGACAGACAGACAGACAGACAGACAGACAGACAGATAGATAGATAGATAGATAGATAGATAGATAGATAGATAGATAGATAGATAGATAGATATTCCCCACATTTTGTAAGGAGTAAATGAACAGCAAATATTAATTTGGCTGAACCATTCTTTTAATTGGCCTTCCAGGCCCATCTTGTACAGTAATTAGCTTTTGGAGGAATAGGCGGATGCTTTTTTAGCCTTTGAACAGGCTCTATTAAAGCCTCCAATCCTCTGGTTATAATGCATAGATCAAAAGCAGGTACATCAGCAAGTATAATAAAACTAATTACAAGTGACTGGATACCAAACAAACGAGCCTTTCTACAGGAATTACTTGTGAGCTTCCCTATTTTCAATCTGTTGTTCGTTTTTCTTTCCTTCAAATGTACCGTAGCTTTGAAGCTCGCCTTGAACTTAGGAAATAAAAAATGCAGGATGAATAAAAAATAATAAAAAAACAGTTCAGTTCAATTATACATTCATCTGCCTTTCTCCCCTGGTCTACATCCGTTCCCAAGTTGGAGGAAAGGAGGAAGAGGATTGTACAGGACTGGATGGTCAATGAACTGTAACAGCCTGCTACAAAACATTAGCGCATTGGGACATAAACAATGTGCATCTGGGACGTATGGGTTGCAAGCCTTGTCTGGATCAGGAACTGCCCGGGTTCATCTCCACCATTGCCCACAGCATGCCAAGAGAGCACTGTGTTCCTCCACAAGAGAAAAATGGCTGATTTGCCAAAAAGATGGCCTCTTCACAGATGAAGTATAATCAGCAGCATGGCTAGTTCATAAACCGGCATCAACATCGAGGGCTTTTAGCTGGAGATGGATAATTCTGAAGAGGGAAGTAATAGCGGCTTGGATGGAAAAATGTTTGCAGCAGAGGTTGGCGATTTTTGAACACCATTAAAAGTCATTATGGGCTAAATTGTCAGGAGGAAAATTTGCTTTGCTGCCTCCTGTGTGGTTAAGTGTGACCATCTCTGACCCAGTCAATGATTTAGTCAATTATATATGAGGGTAATATTATTGTTCTTTGTTTGGAATAGCTGTAATTGAAGAAGACAAGATAATGAGCTCAGTTCGCAAATATTTTTTTAAATTTGTAGAAAAAAAAATAGATTATTATTATTATTATTATTATTATTATTATTATTATTGTTGTTGAAATTTAGGAAACCTATGCCATCATAGGGAGAACATGCAAACTCCACACAGAAATGCCAACTGGCCCAGAAAGGACTTGAACCAGCCACCTTTTTGCTGTGAGGTGACAGTGCTAACCACTAAGCCACCGTGCCGCCCCATGGAACCCCATTTTTAAATCTCTACAGTATATATTTTGCAATTTATTTGCATATTAAGCTCTTCTGGAGTCAAGGAAAGGATATTAGTTAAAATATTATACAATAATAAAATTAATATGGCCTCTCATTTAGCTACCTTTCTGCTGTGCGAGTGGCTCGGAATGCTTTTTTTTGAAATACACACTGAAATGTGCTACAAACATATAATGGTGTAATGATGATAATGCATTCCTACGTTTCCTAAGCGTGAGCCTTTCAATTTGTGTATTGAATTTGTGTAATGCATTTTAAATTTAATATAGCAACTTATACAGCATTACAATTAGTATGTAATAATTTAGCATCTTACATTTTAGATTGTAATAATAATATATTTAATATTACATTTTAAATTAAATATTGCTCCAGATATGCTTCCACGCAGGCTGATCTAGTGTGTTTATAGCATATTGGTGATTGACAGATTGGAACTGCAGACTTAGTTCAGACGACAGCACTTTGGCTTTTTTAATTAACATCCTCTCTTTGACTCCAGAAGAGCTCAGTCTTGTCCCAAATTGCAAAATAAATACTGCAGAGATCTAAAAATGGACGTAGTAGATGAACTTCCACATTTTAAAGCACTCATCCGAAATTGGATGGGTAAAGCTTTAGCACAGGGACCCATAGCTAACTAAATGCACCCCTGCTGAAGAGTAGGCTACTGGCAATGATTCAGTCAAAAACATTATTTCATCCAAGCTCTATGTACTTTTCTCTCTGATTATGTCTTTTTTTCAAGGCAAGAAATGCTCCACGTAGGCTGTCTTGTTCTTGTCCTGCAAAATGCGAGTTCAAGTTAATCTTCCTGAATAATGAAAAGAGAAAAATCATCGCTAAAATTGTGGGCTGCTTTGTCTAACTTGGCGCTGTGTGTGGCTCTAGGGATTGCCAAGGTCTTGTGGTTCAGCAAAAACATACTGGGTAAAAAAAAAAAAGAGATTCTCTGACCCTCAGAGTCGTGCCGCCCCACTTGACTTTTCACTTGGAAAGTCCCTTGTGACCTTGATCGGTGGTAGGAGGTGAAGAGACGGTGACATAATGGGTTTGAACTGTCAGATGGAGGATTTATATGGCTGGCCATTCTCTAGAGAGAAGGTGTATTTCCCAGTGCTTTCTTTACTCAGTGGGCTGTATCTTGAATGTTTGGGATTACCCACTAAATGTTTCTATTTGACAGCCATTGTGTCCATGCTTTCTTCTGTTAAGACTGTCTTTGTGCCTACATCATCTTGCTCACTGTAAAAGCACATGTTGTTTTTTTTTTTTTTTTTGGTTGTTTTCAGGTTGAATCCCCACTGGCAGTGGAGGCGGTACTGGGTGAAACGCAGTTCTCTGTGGTAGACGAGAAAGTGTCTATAGTGGAGCTGCGTGTTCATGCCATCTCAGGACTGGCACTTAATCTTCAACCAAGCCCTGGAAACAGCCATACCATGGTTGCCAAGGCAACTGGACTGCAGACTCTCTCCACTCTTAAGCAGGTATAGTAAAGCCCTCCATTGTTTTTCACACCTTCCACACTAAATGACACAATGTTTTGGGATATTGCTTAATGAGTATGAGCTCTATTTTAATGATCTAAGCACAAAGTCTAAAAAGCATGACCCAAAAGCATCAAGGGTGTGTCCGAATCCACCACGACAGAAAAATACAGTTTGCACTCTGGCGTATGGTCTAACCGGGTTGAGCTTTTACTCTAAATCAGTTATGTTGTGTGTTTTAAGCATAACTTGCAGTAAACCAATCAGAGTCTCATCTTCCATTCCTTTTAGGAGTCAGTTGTCACACATTTGCTATTTACATGGTGGATTTTGTAAGTGGAAAAACTGAATGCTTCACTGGAAAAAAAACGGTTAAACTGAGCATCTGCAGCTCAAGGATAAAGAACGAGCCTCCTCCATTTGGCTTTTTACTTTCTCTTTACTTTACTTCTACTTTCATGGAGTAAGGAAACGGTAGAAACTCACTTCACTAAAGACATCCATTAGCCTACATATTTAATTTTGTGGAGAAGGCATGGAGGCAAGAAAAGGCATGGAGGAAGTGGTTTTTATATTTATGTAGAAAAAAACTTTGACATGTTTTTTTTTTTTTTTCATCAAATTGGGGTTGTGCTGGTCTGAAAATAGCAACAAATCATGTCATACACATCTTGCGCCTTATTGTGCCAGGTGTATGATAGGGCTCTAAGTGTCTAACCAGAATAAAAAACCATCGTCAATATGCGTATTATAGAAGCTGATAGTATAAATGTTAACTAAATAAAATACTTTATTTTGTATACTTGGGTTTCGCTCAATCGGTTTGTGTTGGGACAAGAAGGAATTCAGTTAATTTATTAGTTTTTACAAATTTAAGTGAATTGGTGTCCCCAAAAAACTCAATAATTAAGTTGTTTCAGGTCATTGTTACATTTTTGAACAAACAACAAACTTTTTTGCATGGTTTTGCCAAGGCAACTAAATAAGGTTTAACTAAAGTCTAAACACTAAATCTGAAAATTACAACACAGGCTTATATGAAATACATGCTTTAGCCTACCTTTAAAAAAAAAAAAACACACAAAAATGTACAGGTACTTGGACATAAACAGTACATTTGACAGCAGTTTCTACCTAAAATCTGCATTGTATGCACTGTAAAAGGGATTATTAACCTTAAAAAATTGAGTAAGCCTGTTTCCTTATGGGAGAAAGTTGACTTTACTTGAGTAAACCTGTTGTAACTTGAAACTTTTAAGTTGATTTAACTTCTTTTATTTATAAAAATACACATAGTTCATTTACTTTCAAATTTTCAGACAACAGGTTTACTCACTTTTAAAAGTAAAGTCATCAAACTGTTTTATATGCAACAGGTTTACTCACTTATTTTAAGTAAGGTCAATTAATATTTTTTTACAGTGACGTTTACTAGGACATATTATTAACAAATAAAGTATTATTTTTTTAATTCAGCTCTTTGCACAACAGCAAATAAACACCATAAAACAACTTAATGCTATCAATGAATTGTAACTGAATACATTTCTTTCACCTATAAATATAACTTTTTGAGATGCAGAGCACTCAGGTTTGAGTTCGTTGAAGCATGGTTCCACCAAAGTAATGCAAAATGATGTGGTCACAGTGCACTTTTCTCTTTTGGTTGCCTTTTTAAACACTATTGGTTGGGTTTAGAGAAGGGTGTAAGTCAGTGGTTTGCTATCTAGCTGCCCTCCCTTCTCATGAACATTTAGGCCAAAACAACAAATCTTACCCTAAATAATGTATTTAAGATTTAAAAAAAAGTAAACAGCACCCCAATTGAATATGTTGTCTAAAATGGGCAACAAAACATACCCAAAGCATAGTAGATAATGTTTTTCCAAAAATGTAAGTAGAGGAACGTATTTCCAATGAGCCTGGGCTGAATAAATACAATTAATTAAATACTACATAGACAAAACGATGTATTTTGTTGCCTATTCACATTTTGAAAAGTTTTTAAATAGTTATGAAGAAACAAAGCCCTGTTTATTAAAAATCATGTTGCATGATTAATTAAATATAAATAATAAATAAAATAAAAAATAAAAAAGGTTTAAAAAGGTTTTGTAAAAAGCTTTATAAAGCAGTGCTTCAACTAGGCATAACTACTTGACAGAACTTGGATTTATTATGTAAATTTAATTGGTTCTGATATATTATAGAATAGAACATTAGGCTAACTTTAATAATTAGGCATAAATTACTACGGTTTTCTTGTTCATTTAACAAATAGCTTCATGTTCCATTTACTTTTAAATGGTCATGCCAAATTACACTGCCTAACAAAAGCCTTGTCGTCTATTTAAGTTTTAGGAACAACAAATAAGGACTTCACTTCTAGTTGATCATTTGATATCAGAAGTGGCTCATGTTCAATGCCTCCTCTGCCATCTTACCCCAGACATGCTCAATAATGTTCATTTCTGGTGACTGGGCAGGCCAATCCGGGAGCACCTTGACCTTCTTTGCTTTCAACTTTGATGAGGTGGCTGAAGTAAGAGGAGAAGCGCCATCCTGCTAAAGAATTGGCCCTCTCCTGTGGTTTGTAATGTAATGGGCATCACAAATGTCTTGATACCTCAGGCTGTTGATGTTGCCATCCACTCTGCAGACCTCTCGCATGCCCCCAAAACTGAATGTAACCCCAAAACATGATTTTTTTTCTTCACCAAACTTGACAGATTTCTGTGAAAATCTTACAGGTTCTAATAGGTCTTCTGCTGTATTTTTGATGATTGGGATGCAGTTCAACTTTTCCAAATGATCAACTAGAAGTCATGTTATTATTTGTTTCTCCTACATCTAGGATCAATGACAAGACATTTGTCAGGTAGTGTAGTGCTTAATATAAGTAAACCGAACACATTATTTTTACCAGTGTTCACAGTGTGTCCAGCATGCTTGCAGAGAGAGCTCCGCCCCCACACACACTTCTGATTTGAAGTGATATTTTATTGATATGTCAGGTCTTGTGGCAGGGCAACTTCTGATTTGGACTGACAAATTGGCCATTGCTGGTTTCATATTGCATCATGTCATGCTAGAACACTGTATTATTCCAAACCCAACTTCTGGTAGTTTTCAATTCGAGTGTTTGCAATTGTTTTGAGTCAAGAAGCAGGTCATTTATCGCCTACACAGCACACAATCGTATATATCTTCACGTAATTGTCTGAATGTGGCGATATCATTCATTATCATACAGCTCTCCAAGCAAAAGCTGAAACCTTTGCCCTCCTGCAACAAATTATGCAAGTGACATTTATGAAAATTCCTCTTTGTTGCTCAGGATGATTCAGCTTCAGAGTTAACACAGACCGAACTTAGCCTGATATTGATGATTCGAGTCTCCATGAAGGTTACACAGACCATGGTAAATTAGCCTCGATGCAGTCTCCCAGCCAGCCCTTACTGCTTTAATAAAGGCTTGTTTGGCATGCAGACATATTCAGATGTCCTTTAATATCAGCACACCAAATGAGCAGGCATCTCGCTTAATAAGAAGCCACCGCCACTTCTTTTCTCGAGTGCCATCAGGGGAGCTCCGTGCATTTGCTGCGTAATCTTTTCAAAGCATTAATTGGAGCACATTCGCTCGCATTTTCCTATGCTACCATGCTAATTTATACCATGTCTTGGGCAGGTCACGGAGCCCTGCCGCGAGAGCTCAGGGCTGTTTTTTTTCCTGCTCTGTACTTAGCCTGTGACCAACATTCAACATCAGACGAGGGTGGCTGCTTTCAGTTCATGCATTAAAATCCTGCCGTTCTCCCCCGCTCTCTGCCTTGCCACCTTTGCTTTTAATTAGCGTAATGTATCAGCTTGAGTGCTTGTGGAGACTGTGCTATAAACATCACTGATGACCCTCCTCCTATACTGCTGCCTCTCCATCATTTCATTCTTTCAGCACTCTTACCTACTTTACCTTTTCGGACCATTCATGGCTTTTTTCTTTTCTCTTTTTAGGCTGTGGCATAGCTGTATTATATTTTTTTCAGGTAACTTTTGTATAGTGTAAAAATAATTGATTGGTTGGTGGTAATAGTTAATGCAACAGGCGTCCATGTACAATACTGCCCCCACAGGCTCATTGTGAAAATGTACCCCCGTATACATTTCAGGAGAGCGCGAATTATGTAGCCAGAGCTATGTAAGGCTGCATTTAATTATTAAAATGAACTTTACTGGGTGGTATGATGCCACAGACGGCTTCTGTTTCTTTTCTTGCTACCAGATAATCCAACCCAGGCTCATTGTGGAAACGTAGCCCCGCAGACATTTCTGCAGACGCGAAATACATCCCGGGAGGTACGTTCTTGAGCAGTTTTTGTTTTCGTGGATCCGCAAGAGGCTGATGTGTGCGCTTTTTTGCGTCTCGAACGCCTCTGGGGAGTGCGGGCCATTCGCACCCACGCTGTTCTCTCGTGAAAAGCAGCTGGAGGCCGCTGTGGATCGACCGTCCGTCCAACTGACTGGCTGAACGACTGAACGATTGACTGGGTGGCCTGCCAATCGGCCAACCCAGCCGCCCTCCTCTTCCTCCTCCTTCCCTAAACCCAAGCGATGATTTACAAAAGCCGTCCAGAAAAAAAAAAGCAAAAGCCCTTGTCTGATTTTGACTGCGTTTTCAGATCTCGCCGCATTCTCGCCCTTATTTTTTGGATTGTGTTTTTCATCTTACCTGATTTCTGGAACTGCTCTTCTCCGGACCCAATCCCAGTCGTCCCGGTGGCTGGCTCCTCCTCCTCCGGGCCTCCGCTCCACCGACGTAACACTGCGAGCTAAGCGGATAAACTGGTTGCAGTGGGAAAGCCCTCCACACGGAGGTGCCGTTCGCTCGAAAAAAACAAAACGCGGCCGTACGTACCTCCAGCCACGTAAATCGCGGTCTCCAGAAATGTCCGCGGGGCTACGTTTCCAGAATGCTCTCCTTTATTTCGGACACTGCTAGA